TGTGTGTGTGTGTGTGTGTGTGTGTGTATATATATATGTATATATATATATATATATATATATATATATATATGTATGTGTATGTATATATATATATATGTGTATATGTGTGTATAATTTTTTTTGCTGAAATATGCCACATAAACTGTTCAATTCAGGCTGAAATATTCAGAGACCATGTTAATAATAAACTTCAGCTGCTTGTTTTTAATGCTGGGTTTAATTAATCACCCAGTTTGAATTATTGATGTGTGAGACATGTATTTATGTATTTAATCTGACGTCAGGCATTTGTGAGTCATTTTTGTGGTTACATTTTCAATAAATGTGCTTTTGGATCTCTGAAAGTTACAGCATGTTTTGCAGCATGAAGAACTCCTTGAATCATTTAATAATAAGAATGTTCTGTCCCATCATCCTAGGTGGAGGAGGAAGAGCCACAGGCCAACCATGCCATGATGATCCAGGGTGCACTGCAGCAGGCCACAGTGGGCCTGGGAGAAGAGCACCATCTAGTGGTGTCTTCAGACGATATGGAGGGCATCAAAACTGTTACAGTGTATACACAGGGAGAAGAGGCATCCCAGTTCATAGTCTACGTTCAGGAGGCAGTTCAGGAGGCTGTGCAAACTGAGGAGACCACCACAGTATAGAGCATAGTAAGATGGGGTTTTAAAGCTACTAGCTAGCTAGTTCAAATGCTGTTCTAGTGTTTTGTTTTATTTTGTTCTTTTGCTATAGTTACTCCAGTCAGTATAGGTTATAGGGACCTATCTTGCACAACTGTAAATAATCAGAAATGAACAGTAGCAGTGAATAGTCATAGCCTTGTGCTACAAAAAAAATTAATGTTTCTTGACTAGGGGAATCGGCAGAAGCAATAAGGTTTTAAGTCTTTGCAAAAACCTATCATAGTAGATAAAGCCAGTTGCACATAACACAATCTATTTTAGAAATTAGAATTGTTTCATGTACTATCATTGCCTGCAGGGTTACTGTGTGACTCTGGCCTTCTCCACATTTTTTATATAAAACTCCCATACAGTGTATGGCTATCATAATAGTAAACAGAGGTATTTAATGGGTGGTGTTGTGTATTATTGACACACTTTTTTTTGCCAGTAAATGAAAGTCACTTTAAAGCTGTCTACGAACACAGCATCAACTACACTACCGTTTAGAAGTTCTAACGATAGGTGAGATTTTTGAAAGATGTCTCTAATGCTCAGCAAGGCTGCATTTATTTGATCAAAAACAATTGAACATTTTTATTTCAATATATTTTCAAATGTAATTTATTCCTCTGATGACAAAAGCTGAATTTTCGGCAGCCATTAGTCTTCAGTGTCACATGATCCTTCAGAAGTCATTCTAATATTCTGAAACATTTATAATTATTATTTATTGCATTTATTTGAAATTAGTTTTGTAACATAAATGACTGTTGATCATTTTAATGCATCTTTGCTGAATAAACATTTTAATTTCCTTCATAAAAGAATCTTACTGACCCCAAACTTTTTCAGCTGAACACAAAAGGTATTTTGAAGAATGTTGGGAATCAAACAACATTGGAGCCCATTTACTTCATCTCCCAAGCTTGAAGATTTTTATTAAACAATTCTATACAACATAATATTGCAAGTGACTAAAAGATGTGATTTCAGTGTCTCCTGTTGTCCTCTTCCATCAACTCTGTGTCCTGGCTATCCACCAGGCTGTCCTCATCACCGTCCTGCTCCTCTTTGTCCTCTTTTTGAAGGCTTCTGGTCAACAGAAAATCCTTAGGAGTGATATCATTATCCTTCATCCATTTAGACTTTTTCTTCTTTTTCTCTATGAGTTTCTGCTTCCTAATATCTGCTAGCATATCCAGCTGCTCTTGTGTTAGTCCTCCAGCAGTAGGACTCTGTGTGAGAGGGTCTCTCGCCCCCTTCTCTCGTTTATAGGCTTCGATCTGTTTGTGCAGAGCATCGTGATCGACACCAAACAAAACGGGTCTTTTGTTGTCTTCAGATTGCATCAGCTGCAGTTTGGCCCTTTGGAAGATTGAACAAATTAGAAATTAATAAAAAAAAAAAGTATTTAGTTTTATTAGAACTAAATTCTTCTTACCCGACATCGTTGGTGGATAAACGATTTACGTTATCTTCATCTGGACCAAAATCTGCTTTCTTGAGAAGGTTTTCAATCTAATTAGAAAAAGAAAAATGATATATATATATATATATATATATATATATATATATATATATATATATATATATATATATATATATATATAAAAAAAAGATATTCCATCTTTTATCACTGTAAACTCAGTGTAAAGTCTATCGTTGTTACCTCAGTGACAGCAGCATATTGTTTATCTCTGATGAGAACCACAGGTGGAACATTGCCAAGGATTTGGTGAGAGATCAGAAGGTGCCTGAAAAATAAAATAAGCCAAATTATGGAATTTTTTTTTCAACTTCTTAAAGGGGTAATATGATGTTGCTAAAAAGAACATTATTTTGTGTTTTAGGTAGGCGTGGTTGAATCTTCACTTTTATAAAGAATATCTCTTTGGATTTGAGACTTTAGTCTTTGCAACTTTACAGATCTTCTTTATGCACCAAGAGCTTGTAACACTCCAAAGAGAAAGGAAAACTTGAAATCGCATCATATGACCTCTTTAAAACTAAAATAAAATATACTATGAAAAATACATACCGGATACGAGGAGCACATTTATTTAAACCTGAGGGCGAAGGGTGAAGTAATTGAACCCAGATCGAGTCGATCGACGACACGACAGATTGTCTCTTTTCTCAGGCGCTTTGGTTCTGGAAGTTTTTTATTTCTTTTCATTTTCTCCATAGGGATTATTTTAAGTCTTGAGTTGCAAGCCATGAACTAAAACAATTAGCAAAGAGGTGAATCCCAACATTAAAGACATTTATGCAAAGCAAATATTTATATTTGAAAATCAGAAAAAAAAGAAAAGAAAATGTAAAATAAGACAAAGGTACAAGATTTGGGTGAGGACGGAGGTAAAGATTTATTTGGGTAATATAGTTTTTCAACAGGAATTCCATTGTTGATTAAATCATATTTTTACTGATATAAAAATGTAAATAAAAAAAATATGAATAATGCAGGCTGATAGATTCAACAAAAGCATATACCATCGATTTACAAGCTCATAGCTCACAGTAGATCTGTCCTGAAAGGTTTCGAAGTTGTTTCAAAATCAGTTCACTATGGAGAATATGAATGGGATTTTTACTTCTGTAACTTGGCTATTTAACTCTATTTAATATTTTCACATTTTGTTCCACACCATAAATTATAAATTGTCAAACCTAAACCACAAATTTTGAAGCATGTTTTTAGTAATGTAGTCGGTTTACAAACTACAATAGTTGTCTGATTCCTCAAGCATTTATATTCATTCTTGTGATAACTGTAGTTCTCACAGCAACTTAACAACTTAATTAAAATATATATAACAGTCATAAATTTAAAAAGCAGTTTCAGTTATGACCATGTATAATAAATGTAATGAAAAATTATGAATTAAACATAAAATACCAATAAGTTGATAAAGAATATCCTGCTTGTTCAGTCACAACCAATTTATTTAGTAAACCACACATCTGTAATATTTAGTCACGTTTATTCCAAGAGGCAAATACAACCGCAAACTTTAAATAGGACATGGAGGCACTTGTCTTTTTTCACGTCTGAAATAATTACAGTGTATTATATCAAGGCGGAAAAAAAAAAAAAAGAGCATGAAAACACCATAAAGTTTCCCTTCCGGTGATACAGCTATGAAACGCTGCCTAATTTTGCTAGTTAGTAGTAATAGTTAACAAAGTCTTAATTTTCTGTACAGTTCTAATATAAAATGTTAGACGCAGAACTATTTCACTACAGACGTCCCCAAATGTATATTACAAGTGAAAAAAAACAGACAAACAAACAAAAGTATGACCCTAATATATCTAATATAAGATGAAAAGGTCAGTGTTTTTTTTCTTGCAATAAAGATATGTAAACAAAAAAAAACTTTTTAACGTCATCATATGAACTATATACAACAATACAAAAATGTAGAGTGTAGAGTCTTTTCAGCATTGCTGTAGGTTCCCCTTTTTTCCAAATGTACTAATGCCAAGAGGCAAGCCATCTTATAAATGTGTAAATCAAGTAATTTTAAATAAACATTTTGCAATGGTTTACATCCTAGTGTGAACATGCTGCATACAAGCATAATTCATCTAACAAACCGTTTAGCCATTTTTACAGAGGCCGTACCTCTGGGATGAAGAGGCCATGTTCTATTTCATTTACATCCTCTTGTTTAACAGTTACCCCTGGCATGTAGAGGTCATGTCCCATTTCACTCACATCCTCTTGTTTAACTGTGACTGGTACCCCTGGAATGAAGAGGTCATGCTTCATTTCGTTCATGTCCTCTTTTTTAACAGTTACCTGTGGAACGAGGCTGCCATCTTTCACCTCGTCCAAGACCTTTTTTTTAACAGGCTTCACCTCTGGAATGAAGAGGTTGTGCTTCACCCTGTTCACGTCAATCATTTTGAACCCAAGACGTACACAAACCCTCTTCTTCTGAATTGCTTTCAAGCACTTGGTGAGCTTGCTGTTGAAGTGAGCCTTTACGTCAGCCTTGTTTATCCACAAACGGGAAGCTAGCAGTTCGATTTCAGTCTTCGTTACGTATGGCTTTCTGTGGAAGTACAGCGAAAGGAAGTCTTTTCGGTCCTCGAATGATGTCTTCTCCATTCCCGTTGGTTCCAAGACAAGCTTAGCTGGAATTTCGGGGACTTCTACCTTTGGAACTTTAGAGTTCCTTCTCCTGTTCTTCGGAGTGATTACTTCTCTCTTTGGCTTGGCAATTTCAAGGCCGCCCTGACAGGCCACGTCTGAAGAGCTGGCCATCTGAGGAGAATTACATAAATCAGCATCATCACGTTCCGTTGTATCTGGATTCAGTTGCCTCTCTGCTTCCTTGACGGCTTTGGGAGCACAACGGCACCGTTGCACATGAATGGAGATTGTCTTTGGTGTAGATTTTTCGGTATACACCCCAAAACAATATATGCATTTGTATGCAGGCGTTTTTAGTATTGCATGAATGGTGGGAACGATGTGGTGTTTCGTTTGAAGATGGCTCTCGTAGTCCTCAGAGTTCTGGAGCTTTACTTGGCAAAATGGGCAGGCGGTAGGTGTCGTCTTCAACGTTGTTGCATATTCTGCCTTGTCTGGATACATCTTTATGTACAGCTTATCTTGAGAGCTGGTAACTAGTGCAAGGTTAAGCTCTCGGTTGTCAAGAAGATCTTTGGGCACATCTGTGTTCAGATTAAAAGTGCTGAACATGAGGTTCCCCTCGTCGTCACAGTCGAGACTAAACTGTTCTTTAATGAAATGCCGATTTTCCTTGATTTTCAAACTGTGCTCTTTATTGGTGTGCTCCATGATCTGCTTGAAAGAGTAGAACATCTGAGGGCAGAACAGACACTTTAAGCCATGCAACAAATGCTGGAAAATCCCCTGCTCTGTCAGTAAAATCTTGCACCTCAGGCACTTGACTGTGTGATTGTCATATTTCTTCAAAAACGGCGCAAGCACGGCCAACTCATTCGGCACAGAATTTCTGTTTATCGCCCTCTGAACTGTAGGCATGAGACCCGTGGGCATCACCGCTGAATTTGTAGGTTGGCTAATCTGATTTTGCGCCAGTACCACTTGAGCGGGACCGCCGTGGATGGGTACCGTGACTTGAACGGGCGCTAGAGTGTAGGTTGGGACACCATTGACTTTGTTGCCTGTGGGAATGAGACGCACGGACTGCGAGGCTATGAGGGGAGCTCTGGGACCCGACTGGTTCAGCTGAAGACCTTGAGTAACAAGAATTGGCGACCTTACACCCATTTCGCCTGGGAGGTTGACCTGGACACCAGGCGGAAGAAGAACCTGCTGTGCTTGATGGGTCTGCGGTAGCCTGGGCATGGCCATAGTGATAGGTACCGTCTTAGGTGCGCTTTGCGGCATGTTTGGCATCATCATATTGATCGGCTTCACTACTGGACAGGTAGGCAGGACTTGCGGTATCCCGCTGGGGGACTGCGGATGCTGTGCGTTCTGAAGAGCGGCAACAGTCGTGCCCGACAGTAAAGCTTGTGTTTGTGGGGACAAAAACATCTGCCCTCCACCAGGAGAGCAAAACAAAGCAGCCGTGCTGCTTGGGCCGGCCAGAAGAACAGTACCGTTTCCATTTGTTTGTTGCATCTGCTGTGGCACATAGTTCGGCCTTGCGAGCAACGTGACCTGTTGCATCGCTTTTGGCGCAAGGTTCAGCAGATTCTGTAGTCCAGCCATTTGGTTTGTGCAGTCTTTTTCGATTATACAAGGCATTATTTGCCAGTGCAGGTCTTTGTGCTTCTCTGAACTCAAAATGTGATAGAGTAAATGTTCAATGGTCTCTGCAGGCAGTTTGCACACTTTGCAGTGATATTTCACTGATGCGCCATCAGTCTTTTGCTTACTGTCCGAGCCGAGCCCAAAGTAGCGATCCAGCATCACAGCATAGTGGTTAACCAAGACGTGTTTCTTCATCACATATAGTAAAGAATCATGATAGCCACAGGTTGCACACGTGTATCGGTCATCAGCAGCATCAGCGGAAACTGTAACGGACACGGTTTTCGGTGTGTGGGCCAAAGTGTGGCTAGGGTTTCTGGGAAGAGGTATATGATGGGTTTTTGATGGGAGCATGTGGAAAAACTGAATATGTTGCTCTGTGACCTTTGGAGAGCTGACAAATGGGCAGTAGGGGCACATTAACAAACAGGCCACATTCAGATCTTTCCAGTGACTGCGATGGATGTGACTTCTGAATGTGGGTACTGACCGGCTGGAGTACCAACACAGACTGCAGCACAGAGCTTGACTCCGGTATGGATACTGAGGAACAAAAGTAATATCATGATTAATATGACATAAAATAACATTTACAAATAGCGTGTACAGTGTAAAAATTCATTCCACTCAAAATTAAGTTTAATCACCAACTTTCTTTGATAAAATCAAATGTTTTAACATATTTTACAGAGCAACATATGTTGTATACATAATCACCTTTTTTTTCTTTTTGCCAACATGACCATCAGTGAAATCATCCCATTCTGTGTTGTCAAAACTTGCATCACCAGCATCAAAACATTTGTATGTCTGTTGGAAATAAAGAAAATTTAATTAGCAGATATAACGGGATTCGTGTAAATTATCATTGATTTTGTGAAAAAAGATACACTAAAAATAAAAATATAGTTTTATTAGGCTATATAAGGCACATTTATTATTAAAATGACATTTGTATATTGACATATTGATAATCAATATATTGTGCATTCCTATATTTTTCATTAAGGACCAATTAACATAACATAACTCAATCTTCTGGTGAAATGACAGACTTCTTTCTGGTGACATGCTGTACTTCTCCAATCATATGGTCTGCTTAAACTCCACCTCTTCCTTATAATCGACTGCAAGCTCGCATTTAGATCTGCTTCCATCAAATTAACAGCCGATAATTAGAACTAAATCCCCGCTCTAGATTTTTTTTCCCATAATCGGTTTCTGATGTACCTCACAATATGGAAAAAAAAGCTGTCTCCGTTACTTCGCAACTTTAATAGTAGTTTCTGAAAAAATGAGATTGTCATTTTTTGCCAATGTCTACTTTTTGTCTTGTTCTTTTGCTGTGACAGTTTGAAAAGTTCTTTGAAATAACGAAGTAATTTGGTAAAGTCATACTAAACTGTACTGTAGTGAGAACTTGGGATGACTTCATACTGTATATAGTGCAGTTATTGAATAATCATCGCCTTAAAACGTCTGTCAGCCAATCAGAATCGAGCATTAAAGGGGTCATATGATGCGATTTCAATTTTTCCTTTCTCTTCGGAGTGTTACAAGCTCTTGGTGCATAAAGAAGATCTGTAAAGTTGCAAAGACTAAAGTCTCAAAGAAAGGCGTAAATTTTATTCTCGCTGTAGTATTGTTGTTGCTGCCATGTCGTGAAGGCGCTGTGTGATTCGTTGTGAAAGTGAAACTACTTTGTTTGGCCTTCCAAAAGAGGACGATATCTGATTCGTCATGCCTGGAGCTGCTCCGTGCTGGTCACTGAGGAAATACTACAACTTTGCCCTGTTTTCGCCGGATCGGCTTTCACCGTGGACAAAGCGGAGTCCAGCCCGGAGTCGTCACATGTGGTTGCCGCAAGCCCACCGGACGCTCCTTCGTCGAATCCGCCACCTCTGCTCACTCTAGCCCTCCGGCCTTTCCTCACGCTAGCCCCCGGCTTCTGCTCACTCAAGGCCGCCTTGTGTGACGCTGTGTTACATTGTGAAAGCGAAACTACTTTGTTTGGTCTTCCAAAAATGGACACGACTAGAAATCAGTGGTTAAGTTGTATTTACAACACTGTTCCAGAACACTTCAACCAAAATATTCAGATGTGTGCAGCACATTTTATGGAGGACTGTTTCCTGATCCTGGGAGAGTAGACTACAATGCCGGCTGTTCTGACTCACAGACTGTCAGTACGTTTTTTATATTTAAAGAGTTTTTATATTTTATATATTTAAAGCGAGTTTTTTGGGCAGTGTAGAGTAGGGCTTGTTGTTTGTCATTTCTCCGATCACAAATGCAGACATGGCTTTATTTTTACGCGGCGCGATGCAACGCAATGTGTAAAAAGACCATATAAGTTATTATAATCAGTAATTATGTCCCCACTGGATGCAACGAATGCCTCGTTTATAATGGGTTTTCATCAGGGTTTGAAATTAACACCCGCCAACCCGCCAAATGCGGGTAAAAATCAGCTGTGGTGGGTTACTTTTCGTAAATTATGTTCACTCATTAATTTCTTGGGGAAGTTAATGCAGGCCAAATCTGCGCAGGTTTAGCGCAAATACTGAACTCGTGAGACATCATGACATTTTCGAGTGTATTGCAAAAGCTAAACAAAACACACCTACAGAGGCGTGCATACGCGACGTGATGAAGTCTGGTCAGACCAACACAGGATTTAGTGCGCGTGTGCATTTAGAGTGGTTCTTTCACTGCACGATACAGTCTATTAATATGTAGGGATGCACCGATATGAAAATTTTGCCCGATACCGATAACCGATTATTCTTTATTTTTGAAAGCCGATAACTGATATGTTGGTCGCTAAATCTATATCCAAATTGTTATATACTT